AACTTGACGTTAAACATACAGACGTCATGAGATTGTTTACGGGATTAAAAGAATCAAAGTGTAATTTTGATACCCGTAATAACAAATACAAAATGTAAACTTATGTCGATAGCCTGTTTTAATTGATAATACACTCATTTAGTGGATACATAACTGTTTTTAAGAATACAATAAAATAGTCTACTTGCTACCCACTGTTGCCATTGTGTTATGTTGATACCTAACCAAAGAACTACAAAGAAAGATACCTGGCACCTGCATTCGATTGGGATTGTTCATCCNATGTTCCGATTTTAAACACATTCGTGATAACTACTTCCGAGTCCCGGATATGAAAACACTTTTCAGTTCCGTGGATTCGAAGGCATTATTTAACTATTTGAAAGACATCGGTCTATTTTATAGACTCTGATGTCTTTTAACCCACCTTATCCTTTTTGACGTTATATATATATATCGCATATTCCATATCATCTATTCGTTATCTCTTTTATTATTTTAACCCCCTTTTATTATTTTTAATTATATTGGCCCCGTTGCTGGTACACAAAAACACGTACTATTGACAGTAATCACTAACAGTGCAATATACTACGAGAGCCACACTTACATATAAGTGATAAGTTCAATTACTGGTCCTCACTTTATGTTCCTAAACTGAGATTATTTACAATAAACTGAGACTGTTTACAACAACGAAGACTATTTACAAGGCCAAATAGGGTATCATGTCCGTTATTCGTCAAGCTTGGTAACATGGTTACATGCCTTCAGGGCTCGGCCAAGTTCGATGACCATTTTCAGCGGACCCTGTTTGGCAGAGTTATGGCGCCTTGAATAGCGCCAAACGTCATTATCTGCTGCGTTTCGTTTACGTACAATAATTACAACAAACGTCAACCGATTTTCTTCAAACTTAGTTACAGAGTTAAATGCCTTAAGGACTCGGTCAAGTTCGATGACCACTTTAATCGGACTCCATTTGGCAGAGTTATGGCCCCTTGATTAACGAAAAGCGTCATTATATGCAGTTTCTGCTTAATAACTAGCAAATATTAGTCAAACTTGATAACAATGTTTGTGTTCCTCTGTCTTTCCACCCATCTCGGGCACTTTTTGGTTTTCATCTGATACTTGCTGAAAATATTGTTCAGATGATTCAACCAAATTCCGTATGCAAATCTGACTCATGCTAAGTTTGCCAACCAATGTGATTTGTGCATATTTACGGATAATTAATGAGGTATAGTGTTTTTTTCCAAGTTTTAAGCTATACATTATGTCTCAACAGCACGATACTCACATGTTTAAACCCAACCTCAATAATGTTAACCTACAATATGTCCTGCAAGCGAGGGATATACATTCCACGAATTTGCTTGTGTTTTTCTTTTAGTTGTAACAACGTAACAGTTTGTTTACAAACGTTGTAAAAACAGATCGAAATTATATCCGTTTACCACACCCATATATATGTATCCCTTTATAAAGATATCATATACCAAATGGATTACTTTTTTCTGACATATGCAATAATATAACATCAGTTTTTTAATCAAGGTTAACAGACTTTACCATCTACCCTCAGGTGCAGAATTTTCACATTCTACGTTCTTACATAATGCTTGATTCTTTTTCTCCAAACCATTTTACCACAATTCTAACACCAAATATAGCAAAATCTTGGATAACGTATCCTAGTTAACTAATAAATGCTAACCTTGATGCAATCCATGGCTAACCTAGACTTCAACAAATGTAGCGACGCAATGCAGCTGCTTGAAAACGACGACTGTTAACATACGATAACTTGAAGATATGCCAGAAATACAGAAACATGAGTCAATAGAACCTGGAGATAATAAGGGTCTTGTAAATGAGACGCCGTCGTTATAGTTAATTAAAAAACATGAAATCCAATTTCACTAGATACATGTAAATACTTTCAAAGCGATAATTCAACGTATCACATTTACGTATATTATCCAGTGTATTATCTTAAGTGTGTCCCTGGTGGTCTAGCGTCCTCGTGGTGTCCATTGTCAATACTAGGTAGTATTAGTTGAGATGTGTAGTGCACTGGGGCCATTACCAACAGACATGAGATCAGTTAAAAGTCGGGTAATATGTCACACTCTATATAGAAGTAAACCCCTACACCGGCCAATCAGTTTCAATGTTACAATTTACATGACCTTGTAGTGTTTGGAATGTCTTGTTAAAACGTTTAATGACCTTAACAGTTTAAGGTAAGTTTTAAACTGTGACATTTGAGAAAATTGAGAATAATAGATTGACAAAATTGTTGTTCTGTCTATGAAGCTGAATCATTTATTATAAATCAAAGCACGAAGACAAGATAGTGTTTATAGAAACGGGTATTTTGTTCTGACCCAAATGTGGTTCCTGTGATGATGTCTCGTTGCTAATCTAGGCTTAAATGTCGGTACATCACTAGCTAACTTAGACACGATAAATAAATCGTTAATTAGGGTGGAGGCTTATAAATGTTGGTTGGAATTAGGTTATGATGACAAAATTACATAACTGAAGTGCTGAAAGAAGCATCGCCATGCTAAATAAAAAGCTACAAAAGTAATAACTCCATTATATACCAGATAAACGAGCTGATGTCCGCTAATGCTAGGGTCACCAAAAGCTTAGGTCATATAACGGCATTGTTCACTGTCCAATGATGATGGAGCTAGACGGCAGCTAAAGTCATATGACGACAGATTCCATTGATGATGGAGCCATACTTAAGTCAGTGTAAAATGGTGATGGATCCAAACATCAGACTAGGTCATATGACAAGGGTGTCAACTGGTGATGGAGCCAGACAACAGCTTAGGTCATATGACAAGGGGGTCTACTGGTGATGGAGCCAGGCAACAGCCTAGGTAATATGACAAGGGTGTCCGCTGGTGATGGAGCCAGACAACAGTCTAGGTCATATGACAAGGGTGTCCACTGGTGATGAAGCCAGACACCAGCTTAGGTCATATGACAAGGGTGTCCAGTGGTGATAGAGCCAGATAACAACTTAGGGTTTATGACAAGGGTGTCCAGTGGTGAATTAGGTCATGATGACAAAATTACATAACTGTAGTGCTGAAAGAAGCATTGCCATGCTAAATAAAACGTTACAAAAGTAATAACTCCAATATATACCAGAAAAACGAGCTGATGTCCGCTAATGCTAGGGTCACAAAAAGCTTAGGTCATATGACGGCATTGTTCACTGTCCAATTATGATGGAGCTAGACGGCAGTTAAAGTCATATGACGACAGATTCCATTGATGATGGAGCCATACTTAAGTCAGTGTAAACTGGTGATGGATCCAAACATCAGACTAGGTCATATCACAAGGGTGTCAACTGGTGATGGAGCCAGACAACAGCTTAGGTCATATGACAAGGGGGTCCACTGGTGAAGGAGCCAGGCAACAACCTAGGTCATATGACAAGGGTGTCCGCTGGCGATGGAGCCAGACGACAGCCTAGGTCATATGCCAAGGGTGTCCACTGGTGATGAAGCCAGACAACAGGCTAGGTCATATGACAAGGGTGTCCGCTGGTGATGGAGCCAGACAACAGTCTAGGTTATATGACAAGGGTGTCCACTGGTGATGAAGCCAGACAACAGCCTAGGTCATATGACAAGGGTGTCCACTGGTGATGAAGCCAGACAACAACTTATGTTATATGACAAGGGTTAAAACAAAGCACGGAACAGCTCTAATCTGTCTTATAACAAGTCATCAAAACAACAAGGAAGAAAAGTGTAAACTTAAGATGTGTTCAGAGAATCGCAGAGGAAATGTAGGGAAGGCAGAAGATACATTTGGCCACTTCAACGATATTATGGCAGAGTACACAGAGGAAACGTCGAAACCGATTGGCAAAATAGTTTGCATACAGGAATATATATAACTCAACAAACATATATTTAATAACTACGTACGGTACACAAAAGTTAAACTATTCTTACATTATTTAAATACAAACTTGACGTTAAACATACAGACGTCATGAGATTGTTTACGGGATTAAAAGAATCAAAGTGTAATTTTGATACCCGTAATAACAAATACAAAATGTAAACTTATGTCGATAGCCTGTTTTAATTGATAATACACTCATTTAGTGGATACATAACTGTTTTTAAGAATACAATAAAATAGTCTACTTGCTACCCACTGTTGCCATTGTGTTATGTTGATACCTAACCAAAGAACTACAAAGAAAGATACCTGGCACCTGCATTCGATTGGGATTGTTCATCCGTAAACATTAATTTATTATTCAGTTCAATGCCGCACATTAAAAAGATCAACTTGTTCAATGAGACTTTCGACTGCCAAAGTAGCACATTAAATGTAACTGGGCAGTTGAAACCTATTATTTCGTAAAATCCGCCAAGCAAAGTGCTTATGTTTGGCAATTTATCATGATGGTTTCTCTTTCAATAACTATATTTATATCAAGTGCCTATGATTACACACGAATTTTGTTATAAAACCCGTCCGCGCGGAACATAAGATCGATGTTTTCAAACCTGCTCGATGAATAAAATAAAATGTTTCCGAAAAGTGTTTCCGGTGTAGTGTTCATGGGGAGGTGTGTTAGAAGGTTTCTTTCCGTGGCTGTGATTTTGGTAATACCGACTAAATTATAGATTTTAGCAGTATCCATGATAAGTTTCTTCAAAAACGGAACAAAATGTATAGCAAACTTACAAGTATGTTCCAATGAAGATGAAGGCAAATCCAGCTGGGCACATTAAATTAAATACCAACTTAATATGTGACGCTTGAGTATGTTGTGAGTATATTCATTTTCCTTGTATATGTAAAATGTTGTCAGAAATCGCCCTGCATACTTTAAGTATTCATACTTAAAGCGAAGCGTGCGACTAGTTCACTCAAACTACATGTACAACTAGCGTTTGCTCTATATTCTTTAAATTTAAACTTGAAATGTTTCTTTCTTTTTACAGTTTGTACGAGAGCTGTGTTTACTACGACACATGCTAATAATATCCATACCGCCGTACTTACCAACTACAATTTCCTGGTCCGACCTTCGGACACCGTCACGGTCAGGGCCGAATTAAGTGTGCTATCCATCAACACTGTAGTAAGTAGCGGCCAGCGTAAAGAACATTGTTAACACATTAATACAATTTTTCATAATTAATCAATAAGAAATATGTGTAATCTATCTTCTCGAAAAGATCAGGAATCAAAATAATAAAATTTGATTTGTTGGAGCTTTATCATGCTTGTCCACTCACCTATTCACAAAATCCATACATCAATTTGTATTTATGTTGTCTTTCTTAGGACATCCGAACACAGATGATGTCGACATCAGGATGGATATCTTTCGTATGTATGAGAAAGTAACGTAATGTATTGGGCGCTGTTTTCCTGTTAAGCAAATGGAACCATTGTAAGACTTCTTTACAAGTTGTACACTGTATATGAAACAGCAATTAAGGAAAATACAGCGATTGCAAAATGTTATTGGAAACATGCCATTTTCATTTCATCTGTTGCTGATATCAAATAACGTAATGTTGAAGTAATACATATATAGCAAATATTTCTCGGTCATTTTCATCCATTTTGGATGAAAATATTTTTGACAATGATTTTCCTGGTTTTTTTGTTTACATAAACGATGCTGTTGAATATAGTATTGGACCGACAGTCGTCTCACATGGACACCCGCGACCTACGGAGACATAGAATACATTTATCTGGATTCGACCAGGATATGGAAACCTGAACTAGTCGTAGATAACACGTAAGTTTACCATTCACCAATCAAGGTATGGAAACCCATTTCTGTCATCGATTACACGTAGGTTTAGCATTCAGCAGTCAAGGTATGAAAAACCCATACTCGTCAACGATAACACAAGTTTAGCATTCATCCGCCAATATATGGTAACGTGAACTGGCCAAAATTAACATGTTCATTTAACACATTAATCAGCCAAACAAAAAGAGACAAAAACAAAGTTGAACATTTACGGTAAGTTTACTTTTCTTAGCGTATTCAAACGTTAGTACATTATGGAATGTTGACATATTATGGTCATTCGACTAGTCATATATTAACGCAACATGTCAATCGCCAAAAGCGGTAAAATATGTTACCGCTGAAATATGTACGTTTACAGTTAACTGTATTATATGAAAAAGATTATGGCACGTGAAAATGACAAGAACACGATTTGCCTCTATACCTCTGCTGTGTTCTTCAGCTCTTAGTGATGTGACGGTCGTGTTTTTATTTGTTTGTATTATCAATTGATTGTGATGTGACCGGATTAGGACTGCGGGAGTGGTACATGTATGTAACGGAACTGCATTGAGTCGCTCTCAGGTGCTCTGGTTGTTTCGCTGGTTAGATATAAGAGGCCCTGCATAGGAATCCAACTTTGTTGTTGTTATGCTCAACTATTGTTTGTTCAAGTGGCTGATAATTGTCATACATTGCTTTAGGGTCGGTGAAATAAACATCCTGGGGTCATCGGATCTGCTGTTTCGGGTGAAGTATAACGGAGAGGTAAAGTGGGACCCACTAGGAGTCTACGAAACCAAATGTGAAATAGACATAACTTGGTACCCATTCGACAAGCAGACGTGTAGCATCGAGCTCACAAGCTGGGGCTTCATATCAAGTCACGTGACATTGGAACATCTCGTGACATACGTCAACACAGAGGATTATGAACTCAATGGGGAGTGGCAACTGATAAAGAACGAAATTTCGTCTAGTCAACTGGTAGAGGAAGGAGAGACATTCTCCCAGCTGTTGTTTACAATGGAGATTCAACGTAGATCGGGATATTATATTCTCAATGTTATATTCCCAATAACGTTGGTTGCCGTGTTAACGACAGTTACGTTCCTATTGCCAGCCGACTCGGGCGAGAAGATATCGTATATCCTTACCATTCTATTAGCTTTGGCTGTTCTTCTCACACTTATAGCCGACGCCATGCCGACCACGTCTCTCCATACTTCTGTCATGGGTAATTATGTTTACGTCCAGTTTATAAAATTATTATGATCATGATATAGTACCATCCATTGTATTTTAACACTCGCATAACGTCAGCAGTCGGAACTGCTTTAAGTACAACCCACTGTACGTCTCATTCGTGAAAATACGGTCTTAAACTGGGAAGTATTTTTTTTTAGTTTGAATATACTCGTTGTACTGCCATTTTTTTTTTAGAAATACTGCCATTGATCAGATCACATTTTCATTAGTATTTGTTTATACTTTGTGTGCCTTTAAATACGCATATCACTAATCGGAACATATTTGCTCGCTTGAACAAATGACAGTCACGTTTTTCAAAAATACAGTGAACAATGAGAAAAGATAGGTTGCTTTTAAAACATTTATTATATACATATTATGATAACTGTATTTCTATATTATAATTGAAAATATAGCATGACTGTTGTCTCTGTCATTACTTGTTTTTGAAAATTACGGCTTTTAGATATCCATTACACCAGCTTAAGTGTCTACCATAATTGTAGGTAGCTGTAATCTTTTGAAAGTACTGATTTAAAGAAACATTAACAATAGATAAGTTAATAATGCCATGGATCTGTTTTTTTCTGTACACGTAGGTGTGTTCCTGGCTATGACATTGGGCTACTCCACGATTGCTATTGTCATCACCGTCCTCAACCTCCGCCTCCAGGTAAAACCAGAAGGCACTAAGGTACCGAGATGGCTCCAGAGAATCTGCAGTGGTTGCCTTGTCAAACTTGTATGCTACAGAAAAGACGAAGTTGTCCAACTTCAACCAGGCAAAGGGGAAGCGGGGTATGTCAAAAAGGAGACAAACATTAAAAAGATAATGAAAGAAAAGCTTCAAAGAAAATCGGCTACCACAGCGTGGAAAGCGGACGACGACACAGCGAAGAGGAGCGACGATGAGAACCCGGATGGTTACGATGACTTCCCTTACAACAATAAGGAGGTTGCCGAAATCATTGATCGCTTCTTCTTTTTCCTTTTCGCAGCGGTGAATGTGTTTACAACAACCGGCTTTCTGATGGTGCTGGGCATTGGATCTACGCTAGCCTCGTAGTTGTCATTGGGATTTCAATACACAACCGAGATTTTATGGCAAATTCGGATTAAGACACGTTTCTTCTTATTCATGATTGACATTGCAATTACTATATCAACTAACTTTCACTGTCTTTCAAACAATCTGAGATCTAGATAATTAGCCGTCAACATCAGAATGACCTCTATCTTGAGACACCACTCTACGAAATGGATTCTACGTCGCCGTCCTGGTTAGACGACATTCTGATACATTTGTTAAATGTACTGTTTTGCAAACAAATTCATATATATTTGTTTCAATGCGTTACTCGAATTAACCGAGTTAAAACTGTTTTTAATCCGAGAGAATAATAATCTGTGACGTTGGATTGCTGAAAATCCCAGTGATACCACCAAAACCATTCTGGCCACTGTTTTACATTTGTTATCAAATACATAAGCAAGTATTTTGAACCAAGTGGAGTGTGAATACAGGTGATGTGTGCCACATGAGATAAAATTCATCCAATTTATACAGCTTTGTCGTATATTTTCCGATTTGAGTTGTAGATAAATGCAAGGTTATTAACTCTAGGTAACGTAAGTTAAGGATACAGAGAGGCCATTGTATGGCTCTCTGTTAAATAACATATATGTTTTACTAGTACGCCAGAAAACTGATGCTAGTGTTATTCACGAGTGCGAAGCTAATGAAACATCCCCCAGCCGAACGTTTCAACAAATATTTCTTACGTTTGTGCAAGCTGTGATATTGCATACGTTGATGAAATAGACATTTCTGGTGCAATTATTGTTTAAACGTAGTGCTGAATGTTTACAGAATAAGAGTCATTATAAACGCTGCATTGGTTTCTGTCCCTTGTTTACAAACTCGTTTTACTGGGAATAGTTTGTCCAGCGGAATACTCGCCTTCCTGCCGGTCAAAACCTGATATACGGCGAGCTGATTATTACCGATCGCAGTCATGATGAACGCGTCCATAATGTCGAGGGTGAAAGTCAATAATCTGGGTCCAGATGGTCACAGTTGTTTAGACTTGGGTGTCGTTAGCCCATGTTTTGGAGATGCAATTTGCGCAAACAAACTAAACAATTCAGCAGTATTTTTTGTATTTTTGTCTTCATTTTAAGTACTTTAAGTTAAGAATTAGCATGTTCTATAAGAAACTTCTCCGATACTTGGTCGTTGAGATAAAGTTATATACTTACTAATTGTACGATCATTTCCGGCTGTATCATATTTTTTGTTAAAATAAATTTGTTTTCTGCAAGCAGATACCTGGGTTTCGTTATTTATAGATAGTTTATTCTGATATAAAAAAATAAAAAACCATTTGGTCTTTGAAGAAGTAGATCTGCTGTATCCAACTGCGTGTACGTATATATGAGTCGACTTATGTTGCCCCCCGAAAGAATATATGTTTTACATATGCGGTTCAATATCACTATGTAAACCAAGTAAGCTACGTTTCGGGTCATCAGACTATGCACCAAAATGAGTAGTGATACGAACGTGACTAAAAAGTTAACAAACAATACAGAGGTAACGTTTGACTCTCATTTGGGACTTTTAGACGAGAAGTTGACTATTTCAGCATAGAACAATAGCATATATGTATTTCTAATAACATAAGCATACTCTATAACTTTGAGACGGAAATGAAATGCTAAAAAAAAGAAGCACAGAGGGCCTGTATCGCTCACCTGGATCAGCATGCCCAGCAATGGTATATACGGCTATGGGTTGGCTCAATCATTCCAAAGTTATATGCCCTAGAAATTAAGTCTCTATGGCTAACGATGGGGCCAGAAACAAGTGTTAATACTAATATCATGACTGCAGTGTCTTTTTATGCCCAGCAATGGTATATTATTAAATATGACTTCGTTTATCTCTGTATGCCTATCAAATGTATATATGGTTATGTGGTGTTTAAAATGTATGGCCAAAATATTAAGACCCTGGGAAGGGGGCGGCAGACACCAGTGTCAATATTAATATCATGACTGTGTTTGTTTCCTGATGCCCAGCAATAACATATATATGGTTATGGGGTGAGAATCTCAACTGTTTCATAGTTATGGCCTAGGAATCACGTCCAAAGGGACCTGACCCAAGGGTCAATTCAATTTTCACAACTGTGTTTGTCGCCTAATTCTCAGCAATTGTGTACATGGGTGGGGATCTGGATAATTTCCAAATTTAAAATTACTTTTTGTCCCAATCCTCACATCAAGAGTCGGTCCTTCAACTGATAATTTGTTCCAGAAAAGAAGTTGCTTTTAGTAATATGGCCAAATTACATGTTTTTGAACCCGCTCTAAGCCCCACTAGGGCATTAACCTCCATATATACGAAATTGAGTCCATTTTGCCAAAGGATGGTCTACACCAAATTTGGTTCAAATCCACACATTCATACAGAACGAGAAGGATTTTATTTCCCCCTATATTCTCTCGCATGGGCCCGCCCATATGCCTCAAAAGGAGCCACTCTCTTCCTTTATACAGAATTGAATTCCCTTTGCCGAAGGATGTTCTTAACAAAATTTGTTTAAAATCCCTCCAATTGTACAGAGGGAGAAAACTTTTAAATATTTACCTCAATTTCCTATGAAGGGCCCTGCCCCTCTGCTCCCAGTTCGGCCACACACTTTGTTTATACAAAATTGAATTCCCTAAGGCCGATGATACTCCAAGCCAAATTAAGTAAAGTCCACTAAGCAATTCAGGACAAGAACGCCGCCCCACAGCAGCTCACTTGCTCTTTGTTTAATTTATTTTACAGGATGGCCTTTAATAAGGTGTTATTAACGTCAGGTTTTACTGTTTATTACAGGCTGTCCTTAAAGAAATATATCATTAAAGTCAGGTTTTACTGTATATTACAAAATGTCCTTAAAGTCAGGTGTCATAAATGTCATCGACTGTATATTACAAAATGTCCTTAAAGTAAGGTGTCAGCTAAAATAGGTTTTACTGTATATTACAGGATGCCCTTAAAGTAAGGTGACATTAAAGTTAGGTCTTACTGTATGTTACAGGCTGTCCTTAAAGTCAGGTGTCATAAATGTCAGGTTTTACTGTATATTACATAATATCCTTAAAGTAAGGTGTCAGCTAAAACCGGTTTTACTGATATTACAGGTTGTCCTTCAAGTCAGGTATCATTAAAGTTAGGTGTCATTAAAGTCAGGTGTTGGTAAGGTAAGATTTACTGTATACATGTATAACAGGATGTCAATAAAGTCAGGTATCAGTAACATCAGGTTCACTTTATGTAACAGGATGTCCACAACAGGGAAGTAATGTTTTCTAAATAGATATACACCTGCACAGGTAGATTATAAATGCTAGCCGGGTAATTTGGATTTTTGTATTGCTTGATAGGCATATTCAGTTTGGACTTTGTATAAACAATGAAAAACGGACATTAAACAGAATGTCTCCTTCACGTAATTCTGAGCCAGAACCCAAGTAATTTATTAACACAATATGATAGTGGATATTTTCCTGGACAAGGAATTAAATACTGAGGATAAAATATACCTGAGTATCGTACCCTGTACCCCGTACCCCGTACCCTGTACCCTGTTCTCTGTACCCTGTACCCCGTTCCCCGTATCCTGTACCCGTATCATGTACTCGTACCCTGTACCCAGTACCCCGTATTCTCATAAACAATACAGCGTAGAGAATACATATATACAAATGGGTGACAATAATACATGGTCTAACAGGACTATCTCATTGATATCGGTAATGAATATGATATCAATTCATGTTGTGTTACATAATTGCATAATGTATGTAATTGAAATGTGTTTGGTCTGTCATTATTATATATGGACATATGTTTTCGTCTACTATTGAGTATTGGTTGGTGTGTACAGATAAACAGATAAAGGAATTCGTCGCCAATTTCAATTAATTAACATAAATTACATAATCTATTTTCACGTGGTATTTTAGACCACCTACCACTTTCGATTGGTAATTTACTATTGCATGTTCTGAATTTACAATGCGCTTTGGCTAGTTTCGGAGGGAGTTCTAGCAAGTACTTTTCTAAACAAAGTTCCTACTTATAATTTCTATAATTGATTCCTTTCGGAGAAGTTTATTAAATATACACACATAACAAACACAAGTAATAAGTTTGATTGGATTTATTGGTCACAACTTTCTAAACGGCCGTCGACCCAATACGCCAATATGGGTGTAATTTGACAGACCACAATCAACATACAAACAATTCAATAATCTCTAATCAGCGGTTTCTGGGTATCAGCTCCCCGCTGATTATTGTGCCAATCAATAGATTAACGGTTTGAGGGTGACCAACTTCCCGTTAATCAATAATTATCAGTTTCTGGGTATCAGCTCCTTGTTAATTATCTAGCAAATTCAAAATCATCTATCAAATATAAAGCTGCACATGCATTCAATATACAGTAATACAGATCAATGTTTAGATATAAATCACAATAAATGAAATGTCCATAATACTGTCAAATAACCAACTAGCACTAAATTATAACCTACAAGATTCTGGAAAACAGCTCTCCCGTAAATTATGATGAAAGTTCAGTTGTT